TGATACTTTCACTAATCTTTGCCAGTACCACAATTCACGTACAGCAATTCCCTTTCAGTCTTTCTTATTCAGTGTCCAACTTGCATATATAGATGATGAAATGGACAATGCCATGGCTTTGGGTCAGTTGCACGTTAGTCCTCAAAGTAACATCCTTGCTTTTCAATGCTTTAAAGAGGTTTTGTGCAGCATATCTGCCCAATGCAATGAGTCATCTGATCTCTTTTTTGATTGTAGCTTCCATGAGCATTGATTGTGGATCCAAGCAAGACAAAATCCTTGGCAGTTTCAACCTTTCCTCTGTTCATCATGATGTTACCAAATGGTTTAGTGATAATCCATAGTGAAGGCTGCAATCTTTCATTTTCGTCAGCAAGTGCTTCAAGTCCTCTTCAATTTCAGCAAATAAGATTGTGTCATGTGCATATCACAGGTTGTTAATAAGCTTTCCTCCAATCTTGATGCCACGTTCTTCTTCATGTAATCCAGTTTTTCTGATTATTTTCTCAGCATACAGATTGAAAAGTATGTTGAAAGGATACAACACTGATAAACACCTTTCCTGATTTTAAACCATGTGTTATTTCCTTGTTGTGTTCGCACAACTGCCTCTTGATCCATGTGCAAGTTCCACATGAGCATAATGAAGTGTTGCGGAATTCCTAATCTTGATACGATTCTGTTTCTTAGGATCCACATAGTTGAATGCTTTGACATAGTCAATAAAACACAATTAAGCAACTTTGTGTGATTCTCTGCGTTTAGGTAAGATCCATCTGACATAAGCAATGATATCCCTTGTTCAATGTGTTCTTCTGAATCCTACCTGAACCTCTGGGAACTTCCAGTCAGTGTACTACTACAACTGTTGTTGGATGATCTTCAGCAACATTTTACTTACATGTGATATTAATGATATTATTGTTTAATTTGCCCATTCTGTTGGGTCACCTTGCATTGAAATGGGTCACTTGGATCCAGTGGAATGGATATTGCTCCCTTCTGTCATACATGAATAAGTCCTTACTGTGCTTCATCAGCTTGTTGAAACATTTCATTTGGTATTCCACTGATTCCGGGAGCCTTGTTTTTGGCTAATTCTTTCAGTGCATCTTGAACTTCTTCATTTAGTATCATTGGTGCTTGCTCATATGCTACCTCCTAAAATGATAAAGACCGGGAGTTAAAAAACCAAAAAGGAAGAACACGTGCAGCTTATATTAAACAGGAAGAACCAAAGAAGAAATTCATGTCTTTATTTGCAGTATTGAAAAATTCTGTGAGCAAAATATTGAATGACGCAGGAAGCATTGAAAGAAGATGGAAGGAATACAGAGTCACTGAAGCAAAAAGAACTGGTTAGCATTCTACCTTTTCAACTCTGTTATTACAAGAAATATGGCTTTATTTTAGGGCACGTGGAAGCATTGAGTTTTTCTATTTTTTGTACAATGTTTGAGCTGTGACTCTGAAGCCCTTAGGCCATCTCTTTTCTTTACTTTACCTGTTATAAAAATAATATACTTCTTATCCTGACAAGTTTTCAGAAAGTATCAAGCACATAATCCACTAGAGCAGCAGTTCTCAACCTGTGCGTTGCAACCCCTTTGGGGGTTGAATAACCCTTCCACAGGGGTTGCCTGGTTCATAACAGTAGCAAAATTACAGTCATGAAGTAGCAACAAAAATAATCATGGTTGGGGATCACCACAACATGAGGAACTGTATTAATGGGTTGTGGCATTCGGAAGGTTGTGAACCACTGCACTAGAGTCTCCCTCCCCTTCAATAATGAAATTTGGGGTTTTAATATTGATACCTTACCCCATAGGTTAACAGTGCTGTCTTTACAAATGAGGTAGCTATTGAGACTTATAAAACTAGTCAGACTTGAGAACCAATTTAGAAAACTCATCCTGATGATTTCATTTCTTTATACCTTATTCTTGGTACCAAGTGTCTTAGACTGGGTTCTCTAGAGAAGCAATGCTAATGGAGCTAGTTGTGTTTATATCAAGAAAATAGCTCACAGTGTAGAAGTGGATATGTTTCATTCTGTTGGTCCAATGTTAGGCTGGTGGCTTTACCTGAGTCATGCATCTGTAGGGACTGATGAACTTAAGAATGGCAGGAAGGTGAGTTAATTCAAGGTTGGTGGGCCAGGCAAGATGGTAGGCTGATCATGACTCCTAGGATTGACAGGTAATATGGCACGACATTGATAAGCCAGAAACAGGATCCAGTCCTGCATAAAGTCAGCACGTTTCCCCACAAATTCCACTTAAATTGGAAGCAGGCCACATCTCTGAGATCTCATCATGGCCAATTACTGGGTCTTTAACTGTCAATCTTCTGAGAATCCCGGCCCAACCAAGTTGACACAAAACCTTAACTATCACATAGATCCTAGCCGGTGCAAATATCTTGTCTCAATGAACTTCAGTTTTCTAAACTTCAAATTGGAAAAATAATGCTATGATTAAGTGACATAGTATAACTAAAACATATATTGAACCTGGTGCATCATTAGTGTTTAGAGGGTAGAGGTGCTGCTGTCAAGTTTGCCTGATTCCTGGTGTCTCCATGTCAAATGTAATGACATGCTTTCGTTCTGTGTCATCCCTATGAGAAGTTGCAGATTGACTTTTGTAATCTGTAGGGTTTCATTGGCTGGTTTTCAGAAGTAGATTGTCAAGGCTTTTCTTCCTGGTCCATCTTTGTCTAGATGTACCATTGAAATCTGCTCTGTGTCAGAACACACAAGGCTCCTTTGACAGATACCCTGTTTCCCTGAAAATAAGACGGTGTCTTATATTAATTTTTGCTCCCAGAGATGCACTAGGTCTTGTTTTCAGGGGATGTCGTACACATTTACTGTTTATTGTTTTATTTTATTAAAAGAGACCTCGCACTTCCTGTCTGCTCTGACTGCACTGCAGTCAATAGTGAACTGTGCAGTGGCGCCTGCTGCGACGGTCCACAGTCCAGTTACAGTAGCTTCGGGGGCCCTTATTTTCAGGGAGGTCTTATTTTTGCGGATGCCTTATATTTCAGCGAGAGGCAAAGCTGTTAGTAGGTCTAATCTTTGGGGGATGTCTTACTTTCGGGGAAACAGGTGGCAGCTGTTTATGAGCTATATTGGCTACGAGTTGAACCCAGGCATCCAGCACGGAAAGCAAGAATTCGAACAATGAATTACCAAAGGCCCTTAGTAGGTGGTAGCTCCTGTTATTTTTATTACTAATGTACTTCAATAGTGTGACGACAATCTGTTTCTTAGTTAATGAATTGATGTTTATGATATGTAAATCACATAAAAATAATAGGCAAGTGCTTAATTTATACTTTCTTGTTTGTTAGGTGTGTTAGGGTCCTCTAGCAAAACAAAACCAGTACACTTAGGATTTTTGATATACATATGGATAGATAAATACAGAACAAAGGAATATAACAGCTAATTAGCCTACATAGAAGTACAGAGGGCTCAGTTCAACTCACTTCCTTGGAACAGGAATATACTGGAAGTCCTTCAACTCACGAGGGCCCCTGGGTCCAAGATCAAGGAAGCAGACAGTTGAGTCTTCCATAGGGCAATGCAGGCAGTCCAGCCACAGGCAACAAACAGCAGGGCGGGTTACCAACAGTCATCAAGATGACAAGGTCCGACAGTCCCAAGCTCAAGCTATGTGTCCACCAGCAGCGTGGTGAAGCAGGTCTCGAAAGAACCTCAAGCTCTAGCGACACGATCCACAGGTTGGATGTCCCATAGGTAGTGTATTTTTGTAGCTCATGAGTTGAAGCAGAGAACTAGCAGTAGTTCAAATCCACCAGCTGCTCTGAGGGAGAAAGATGTGGCAGTCTGTGTTGGGAAAGATTGCAGCTTTGGAAACCCTATGGGACAATTCTACAGAGTTGCTATAAGTCAGAATTGACTTTTGGGGTTTAACTCTCATGTCCTAGGCACTTTGTTTCAAATCTATTGGGAAATACAATTGATTACACTTGACAATTGTGTAATGTCATGTAATGGATGCTAATTAGAAGAATATAGGATCTGCCCAATTCTGTTAGAAGGGTGACCAGTGAGTGTGTGTCTTAGGAAAAGTTTTACCAAGAAAGTATTAACATTACTTTCACATTGGTATATGTGATAGACATCATGCAGAGAGCTTGGATTCTTAAAATTACAGTTGGTCATTGGAATAAGGATTTCATCATGACTAAGATTCCAAGATAATTTTGTGTACTTACATAGTGTTATTTCAAGGGATATTCCATTAAGTGGCTAGGTGTTTTGACTTAATTTTTAGTAGATTGAAAACCCATTTTCTATTGTGCTACTCAGGATTTGTGGTTGTTGTGTTTGTTTTAAAAAAATTGAGTTTCAGATAGCAACTGGAAACATAGGGAATCCAGGACAGATGACCCCTTCAGGACAAGTGGTGAGAGGGGTGAGGCCTGGAGGGTGGAGGGAACGTGGGGTAGAAAGGGGGAACCAATTACAAGAATCTACCTATAGCCTCCTCTCTGGGGGATGGACAGCAGAGAAGAGGGTGAGGGGAGATGTCGGACAGTGTAACTTATGACAAAACAATAATGATTTGTGAATTGTGGAGGGTTCATGAGGGAGGGGGGATGGGGAGGGAGGGGGAAATGGGCAGCTGATGTTAGGGACTAGAGTAGAAGGCAAATGTTTTGAGAATGATGAGGGCAACAAATGTACATATGTGGTTGACACAATGGATGCATGTATGCATTGTGATAAGAATTGTATGAGCCCCCAATAAAATAATTTTTTTAAAAACTGAGTTTCTATACATGAGTCAGGACTGACACGATGACACCTAATATATGTAAGTTATAGTGACCATTGGTGACAGAGTAGAGTTGCCTTGTGGGGCTTTTTTTTACTGTATTCTTCACAGAATTAGATCTCCAAGTGAAGAAATGGCATGGACGCCATGTCTAACTTCCTCTGGCCACAGACAGGAGAAAGCACATCCAATTCCACATCTGTCTGCTCCACGATGATTCCTCGGAGGCAGAGGTCAGCCTCCATCCTTCAACTTTGTCTATTCTAGTACCAGCTATCCCTGCCACTATATTATACTTAAAAAAAATGACACCCCCTACACATTTGGATTTATTGAATTTAAGTTGCAATTTATCTGTATTTCTTTTTTCAAAATCATTTTATTGGGGGCTCGTTTCTGCTGGGTTCGATAATCCATTGCAATAGCCACACAGAACTCACAGACAAGTATGAGGGTGTAATAGGGAATTAACAGGTTATTAGAAGTCAGGGTCAGAAAGCATTATAAGGATACAGTCCTTTTGTCAGCAGCAGTGCCTCTTCTCTGTACAGGCAGGCCTGTCTTTCTGGTCCTCGGCCTCTCAGCCATGCAGTCCCTTGGTCTTTGTCCTATTCTGCTAAGTGTTTGTTCCACTGGAAAATGCTCACAGGGCTCCCTACTCTCCAAACCAGTTTTCGACTGGAGAGCACTCAGTTTTACTTATTTCGTGTGGCTTCTGGTACCTCTGCTGCCTCTACCACTTCAGCCAGGCATCTACCAAGTGTTTCCCTTGTGGCTCTTCTTTCTTAATTGTCGTGGAATTCCTCTGGTTCTTCTGCCTAACTTTTATACCCACTGGAATAGCAAAATGGACCAGTCCCGAGTTAAGAGTCCTCTAAATCTTATTTGCATATTCCCATCCAGTTACTATGTAGGGGTTACAAAGACTCGATAGAAGAGCCCTACCAAGTCATTGTATTTCCCCACACTAGGTCTTTCTCCTGTGGGGTCATTGGGTAAGATCAAGTTGCAAACAGTTTGGTTAGCAGCTGTTGCCCCACCAGGGTTCTCTGTGCTAGGATTAGAGTTTAGGGAGTTGGTCTTATCATCCCATGTTGATTAGACTTACATTATGGTGGACTTAACCGTATAACTAATGAAGTTCTCCCCATTAGTCAAAAATCAACGCAATAGCATCCAACAATACATATGTCAACAGTTGCTGGATTGATTTCACTGCATATAAATTCTAAGTTGTTGATGCTGAATAATGTTTGTAGGGAAGAACATCAAGTAGGATTCTGGTATGCCAATATAATGTATTAGATCTTTGCTCAAAGATGGGTCAAATCAGAATTAGAGTTCAGTATTGTTTACAAAATCATTTTCCATTTAATTGTTGTGTATATAGAGTGGTTGAAATTATGCTTAGAATAACTATATGCTATCTTTGGATCCAGGAGTAAAAGGCAACTAAATAGAATGCAAACTCAGTCAAGTGCCTTTTGCCTTGGCTTTTAATAATCTAGTTTTAAAATATAAGTGTACTAATAACTGCTAGGAGTTACTGAGTGGCACACATGATTATGCACTGGACTAGTAATTGAAAGGTTAGTAGTTCAAACTTACCCAGGGGCTCCTTGGATGACGGTCTGGTGATGAGCTTCCAAGAGGTCACAGCCTTGAATACACGATGGAGTTATTCTACTCCTCATCCTTGGGGCCACCATGAGTTCTCATCAACTGGATGGCAGCAAACAACAAGGATTATTATTTGGAGGGAATTCAAATGAGTATCCATATTATAAAATATATATTGAGAAGAGAAGCAACAATGTTACTGGGTAGAAAATGCCTCTTTAAAAAATTTTTATTATGAGCTCTTACAATTATTGCAATCCATAGTTTCATTGGACCAAGCATAATTGTACAATTGTGCCCTCCTAATTCTTAATACATTTTCTTTAGAAAATGCCTCTTTTAATAATATAGAAGCACAATAACAGTGAATGGAATGTAGGAATAGCTTTTCATGATATGTACATCCTCATTTTCTAAAATCTTTGTCAATATATATTAAAACATTTTTTATACAGGCATAGATTTTTTTCCCCCTGAGTTCTTAAGTTTAAGGACCGTACCTGTAAACTATGCTTGGGTAATGTGTGTGTTCTTGCTTTAGTTTGGTGATAGGATGGGGTTACATTGGAATCATATGTACAGTTAAAGCTCTGTAACATTTCTTTTGGTGGGGTCGTTTGCATAGTTTTGGGTGTTTCTTGACCACTGAAACTGCGCAGTAATTGATTAAAATGCCCTTTGAACTCTTTATTCTCTACCTTTTATGTAATAACAAAGATGGTTGAAACACCAAACAAATATTGAAACATTAGAAGTGTATACCTTTCTCAAAGGGGAAAACCTCATAATGGAATTTAATTATTTTTATGGATTATAGACTTTGGACCTTAAGGTTTCTTCATGGAATTTAAATATAAAAAAATATTTTTTTGTTAATAGTTCCCCTTTTCTCTTTCAGGTATGGCCTCACAAGTCTTGGTCTACCCACCATATGTTTATCAAACCCAGTCAAGTGCCTTTTGCAGTGTGAAGAAACTCAAAGTAGAGCCAAGCAGTTGTGTATTCCAGGAAAGAAACTATCCACGGACATATGTGAATGGTAGAAACTTTGGAAATTCTCATCCTCCCACAAAGGGTAGTGCTTTTCAGACAAAGATACCATTTAACAGACCTCGAGGACACAACTTTTCACTGAAGACAAGTGCTGTTGTTTTAAAAAATACGGCAGGTGCTACAAAGGTCTTAGCTCAGGCGCAGCACGTTCAAGTGGAGGCACCTCAGTTTGGGACTTGGCGAAACAGGTTCCACATACTAGAAGGCCCCCAGCGATGCGGATTGAAGCGCAAAAGTGAGGAGTTGGATAATCATAGTAGCGCAATGCAGATTGTTGATGAATTGTCCATACTTCCTGCAATGTTGCAAACGAACATGGGAAATCCAGTGACAGTTGTGACAGCAACCACAGGATCCAAACAGAATTGTACCACTGGAGAAGGGGACTATCAGTTAGTCCAGCATGAAGTCTTGTGCTCCATGAAAAATACTTACGAAGTTCTTGATTTTCTTGGTCGAGGCACTTTTGGCCAGGTAGTTAAATGCTGGAAAAGAGGGACAAATGAAATTGTGGCAATCAAAATTTTGAAGAATCATCCTTCTTATGCACGTCAAGGTCAAATAGAAGTGAGCATATTAGCAAGACTCAGTACTGAAAATGCTGATGAATATAACTTTGTACGAGCTTATGAATGCTTTCAGCACCGAAACCATACTTGTTTAGTTTTTGAGATGCTGGAACAAAATTTGTATGATTTTCTGAAACAAAATAAATTCAGTCCCTTGCCACTAAAAGTAATTCGGCCCATCCTTCAACAAGTGGCCACTGCACTGAAAAAATTGAAAAGTCTTGGTTTAATTCATGCTGACCTCAAGCCAGAAAATATTATGTTGGTGGATCCTGTCCGGCAGCCATACAGGGTTAAAGTAATAGACTTTGGGTCTGCCAGTCATGTATCAAAGACTGTCTGTTCAACATATCTACAATCTCGGTACTACAGGTAGGTGACAACTGATTTTGACTTAATACATGTTGAATTTCTGCTAGTTATTTTGTGTGTGTATGTGATGAAAGAGAATGGTTTAGTTACAAATTTAGGTTTAGTTTTAAAAAGATTTTTAAAATCTAAGTATACAATCTACCCCACCAAAATAGAAATCTGCACCATAAAGTTCCAGGCCAAAGATGTCTCATTGTTTTTATTGTTAATGAAGACTTGAAAGAATAATAGATGATGAATGATCAAACAAAATTCTTTGAATGTAGAAAGAGGTCCATATGGTTCAAATAAAATAGATTGGAGTAGCAGGTCTTGTTTAATGTTTCATATAGTTTGGTTATCTATTTCTTGTGGAAACAGAATTTTAGAATCCTGCTTTTACTGGGTCTTCTGTGCATTCCCACAGATATTTTCTCTGTTTAATAAAAATAGATTAGCTTTTAGATAATTTTTTTCCGAGAAAAATTATTTTATAATCTCATTTAACAGGCAGCGAGAAGGTAAAAGTTTTTTCCCTTATACTCTGTGGACTTTCTCTTTCAGTAGTTTTCAGTATTTTCTAGCGTATTATATAAACCCCAGTCTCAAGCTACTTGGGCTCTAGTTCACTTGTAAATGACTTCAATTTATTTGGCTCTTATATTATTCTGCATATCAGATTCAACTCATGGTGATACCTAAGCTTGCTCTCTTTTTAAAAACTGTAATTTTTTTCTTTTTCGTGGTAAATATAGGTAACAAAACATTTACAATTTTAGCAGTCTTTACATGTACAATTCAGTATTAAGTATATTCATTGTGTTGTTACTTCCATCATGTTGTTTCAACCATTGCGTTGTTCCAGATTTGAAATATTTTGGATGAAAGTGAAAAATCTTGATTTTTTTTTTGTACCTGGGAATATTCATTAGTTTAATGTTTCAAGAGAATAAAGAAGTCCTGTGTAAAGCACTAAAAAATAGGATATGTCTAAAAATATAAATAAGTCTAAAATATTTTATATAATATTTTATAATAGTAGTTTCAATCATTAGACATTTTCAAAGGCACTAGTGTTGACAATTAAAAAAACTAACACGTGAATAATTGTTCAGTACAGTTTAAGGTCTTTCATTTGTGTTTATATAAATATTAGGTAAATAATTTACCTGGCTTTTAGAATCTATACAATTGCTCTGTTAAATTACAGGTGCTATGTTAAAGTAAAAATGAGGTTCTTAGTAATAAACAAAGAGCAGTGCTAGCATATTGGCTGATGTTGTCTGTGTAAACAAAGTTTTTTAAACAACAGACTTTATGTCAGTTAGATTTAGGACTTAGTAAATATTTAGCTTTGTGAAAAGGTATAGTATGTAATTCCTGAATAACATGCTATTATAATACATAGCATAGTTTTGCATGAAAATGGCAGGTAACCATTATTTTTCAATATTATTTGTGTTTTATGTTTGGAACTTTGACAATTCAGGCTTACCTTTATGGCTAGGTTACTTATAAATCTGATTAGGCAGTAACCAACATGTCTTATACTGGATTTTTTCCACTGTTTGTTAAAAATACACTGTCTTTTAAAAATGAAAAACGGAAATGGAAACTTGCCAAATATTTTTGAGCTAAGCACAGTAGGAACACACATACCCCAAATTCCAGGGTAGATGATTTGTTTTAAGCGCGGATTCATGTGTTACTCTGTTTCTTTGAACTGAGCTACACAGAAATGTAGTAGGGATGTCTTAAAATAGACAGGGGCAGTAGCCAGAAATTGTTGACTACTATAGATGGTGAGGCTGTCTGGCTGCTGCACTGACATAAGCCAGAAAGAAGTACATGCGAAGGGCACTGCTTTGCTCAAGGTCAGCGTGTTCTAATTTCAGCTGCTTGAGTGTGGCTTCTGTCTGGAGCACACCGGCTTCTTGAATGCATAAAAGGTTTTAGCAGCAGAAGGTGCTGTATTTATGAGGTGTGGTGGCAGCATTCGGGTCATGGGTGTCTGGTTGTTTTTTTTTTCTTATTGTGTTTTTTGTTTTGTTTTTTAAATATAGACAGTAGTCTGTGGTTCTGAGTCATTTCAAAACAGAGACAGGAACATGGACTGTGAACTAACCCCTATACCAATTATTTATAGTCTTTGCTACTTTCTTGAGCAGTTTAGCATCAGTTCTTATAGAAATAAATACATACATGTAATAATTGACAGAAAAATATGATCCATAATTTAGACTTGTCATTCTTGTTTAGGATATTTCTACGCCTCATGCCACATAAGACCGTGGATTATCAAAGAAAAAGGTCCCTGTAGCAATATCGCTGTTAGATGCTGTTGGGGCCTGCGCCGTCCTTGTGGTTGCAACCACTGTTTCAGGCCATCTTGATGAGGAGGTCTTCCTTATTGTTGACCCTTTTTACCAAGCATGATGTTTTGTTTTGTTTTTCCCAGGGATTGACCATAACAAGATTAAGAAAAACTTATAAATAATAATTAATAGGACACTGTGTGTGTGTGCTACATTCATTTTTTCGACATGCTTCTATGCATATTTTCTAGTTTGCTTCTCATAATCACCCCTGTGAGTCTGGTAAGACAAATAGTGGAATTCTGTTTCATAATCATGAATCGAAGGCCGATTTTTATTTCCCAGAGTTTAGCAGATGTACAAATAAAGTCAGGCAGGTATAAATTCATACTGCAAGTTTACTGTGACTTTTTCTTTTTAGTCGTTTTAGTGTCCTGGCACTTTGTTAGGTGCTGGGTTTCAGAAGTGATTAATAACAGGTGTTTCCCATTTTCCAAAAATTCACTGTATACCACTTTGGTTTTACCAAAAAAATCTACATTAGTGCTTGTTTTTGAAAGGAAGAAATTTGAAGATTTTACTTTTATGAATCAAGGTGAGAAGTGGAAGTAGCATTCAACATTTGTTGTGAAAGTGAGCAGCGCCCACCCCAGAACCACAGGCGTCACACATTATTTCTGCCTTACATAGGCTGTGTGCTTGTCATGCCGTCCTCCCTTTGACAGATGTTAGTGCCACTTTCGGTTCTAAGAGTTATTTGGTAGATTATTTTTTTGGTCTGGGAGTGCCGAAAGTATTACCGCCTATTTGAATTGTGTCTTTTCAGTTTACGAGAGATTTCATAGGGGCACTCGACTTTCAAGTGGTGGGGGAGACCTGCACATGATGTCATCGTCTGTTGGAGGAGAAAAGGGAACTGTTACAGCAGGGGTGTGGGCAGGGTGCTGTGGAAACTTCAAGGAGGGCACTTAGCCTTATCAGCGGGTTCCGAGAAGGCTTCCAGGCAGGAGTGGCCTACATGCTCCTGGGGAGAGGAGAGCAGGAGACAGGTCTGACTCCTCTGGAGAGCGTTCCTTCTCTCTCATCACCCACCCTTCTTCCTTAAGGGCTTAGTACTGCGCTGGAATTGCTTGTCAAATAAACCGCTGGTATTGACTGGAAATCTTTGTTTTATTTAACAAATAGAAGGTTAACAGGTTTTAGTTGTAACAGAAGTTTCTGATAGTTTGTAATGAGGTAGTTCTCAGTGCCGTCGACTGTGGTTGCAGAAATAGATGGTGGTTGTTAGGTGCTTGCCAAGATGACACATAGCCAGTGGCCCCATGTGTAACAGAACAAGACAGTACTCAGCCTTGCACCGGCTTCTTGGTAGTATGTTTGGGCCTCTTATTGCATAGTCTGTTGATTCATCTTGTTGAAGGTCTTTCTTTCTTTCTTTTGCTAACCTCTCATAAGACCTGATGCCCTTTTCCAGGATTCGGCCCCTCCTGATAACGCATCCAGAGTATGTACCATAGATGACTACCTTCAATCAGGTCTTCAGATCAAAACCATGGCAGAGCTCTTAGTTGTTGTTGTTTTTATTAAGGTAGCATCATTGAGATATATAACTCATATACTATAGAATACACTTTTAGAGTGTATAGTTCAATGACTTTCAGTACACGAAACCTGCAGGAGCTGGAACGTTGTGGGGACTGCCTTGTTTTTTTCAGGTCTCACAAGTGTTTCACCATTGACAGGGTGCATTCTTAACACTTTCTCTCTCTCCTTTTAGTGGAAAATATTTGAGTCTTCCTTCCCTGGAAGACTTCTGTCTTATACAGGTTCTGATTTCCACAGATTTTATTGCATATTCATAGAGTTGTACAACTATCACCATAATTACTTTTAAAACCTTTTGTCACCTCAGAAAGAAAACTCATACTTTTAAGCTATTATTCCCTGCTGCAAAAAGCCATTCCCTCCCTTTCCCCTCAGGTATAAGCAACTGCTAATCAGCTTTCTGTCTCTATAACCAGAGAAACAAAATAAACTCACTGCCATCTAATGGATTCCAGCTCCCAGTGACCGTATGGAATAGGTTAGAACTGCCCCTTTTGGTTGCTGAGACTAACTCTTGATAGGTGTACAAAGTCGTGTCTTTCTTCCATCTAACGCCGCAGATCTCGCTGTTCTGGACTTTGCATATAAATTTACTCAAACAGTGTATGGTCCTCTCTGACTGCTCGCATGTAGTGTTATTTTTCCAGGGTTCATCCATGTTTTGTAGCATATGTCAGCACTACTTTTTTGTTTTTGAATAATAGTCCATTGTATAGATCTATCACATCATAGGTGTCCATGCCTCAGTTCCCTGGATAAGGACATCGTGCTTGGTAAAGCAGAGGGGCAGCAACAAAGGAGAAGGCTCTTGATAAGATGGACTGACCCAGTGCCTGCAACAACCGGCTCAAACGTCAGCACACTCGTGGGGATGACGCAGGACGTGGCAGTGTTTTGTTCGGTTGCACATGGGTTTGCGATGAGTTGCAGCAGACTAGATGACACCTCAGAACAAGAACAATTCATCAGTTGGTGGAGACTTCTGAAAATTTTATTAGTGAGTAGATAAGTAAGTAGAGAAAAGTAATATTGTCAGCAATTAAGTCTTTCATTAAAAATATCTGCTTATGTCTGTAAACATGGGGACATGCTGGGTGGTGG